GCCTCAGTTTCTATTTGTAAAACGGAGATGGGGTTGTGTGGTTAAGGAAGAACAAAGAGAGTACCCAAAATGATTTAGAACTGTCACTGTCCATCTACTCCCATCACAAACACGCATATCCCATTAAGCCAGCAATTCTGCTAGAAATTTATCTGAGACAACGCGGCAGTTAAGGCTGCTTATGCCGTGTTTTCACCAGTGAAAAAAAGAAGGGAGGGAGAGCACATGTGAACTGTTCTTCCAGAGGGGACTGGTTTTTAATAGGGTTGTCTGTGCTGTGGAATACCGCCAGCCATTAAAAAGACTAAGACTTGTATTTTGCATGGAAGGATACCCATGGAACTGAGTGGAAAACAAGCAGTTGGAGAAAACTCTACATGCTACGATTCTATCTTCGTAAACAGCAAACGATACGTAAATGTATAAAGGAAAATGTTTCACAGAGAAATATCCCAACCATCAATGGTTTATTCCAGAGACATTCAAGAATCCTGCTATACTGTTAGAATTATTTTAAAAGATTCACTAAACAGATGAAAACGCCATGGCCTTTCTTAGAAGTGTTTACCTTACAAGTCAGTTAAACTGCACGAGGGAGTGGGTGCTGGTGGCGGTTATCAGGCTGTGGAGAGCAGGTTGGGGCCCTCGAGTCGTCCACCAGCACAGTGTTGTAACAGAAACAATGACTAAGAAAAAATTTTTAAACAAGGGGGGGTACTCCAAAGCGATGTATTTAATTTAAAAAAATAAACAAAAAACCAACTATCACCTTCAGAGTACTCTTCATTATACTTAGTACATATGGCAAATATGTGATCCCATTTTTGGACACATTTTTCAAACTCATCTGTTTGGATGGCTGACAGCACCTCCCTCCTCATTCTTTCTTCACCTCTTCTATGTAGTCATAGCCCTGTCCTTTCATGTCCTTCATTTTTGGAAACAAAAAGGTTGTAGGAGCCAGGTCAGGTAAGTAAGGTACGTCAGGCGAGAGAGGCATGCTGTATTTTGTGCAAACAAACTGGCGCACTGAGAAGGCTGTCTGAGCAGGTGTACTGTCGTGGTGGCAAAGCCAGTCCCGTCTGCCACAAATCAGTCCTCTTTTGTTGCACACAGTTATGCTATCAAGTTGACGGACATCCAGAATGAGGTTTGTCAACAATCAACATTTCACCATTTTTGAAATGAGAAAACCACTCATACACTTGAGTTATTCCCACAGCACTGTCCTTGTAAGCTGTGTTCACCACAAGTTTCTGCGGCATTTTCCCTGAGCAGAAAACAAAATTTCACAGCCCAATGCTGTTCTCTTAAATTGGCCATCACAAAAAATGAGGTATGAGCAAAGCTGCTTTCACGGGAAAAAAAAAAAAAAAATCACTGTGACGAGAAAGCCTTCCCAGGCGATGGCGATGCCACTGGGTGCATTAACTCAGAACGAGTTGCTCAATGCTCGCCTAACAGGAAAAATGTGTACTGCAAAAGCTCCACCCAGTGGAGCCTTTTTTAATGGGTACCCCTCGCATGTCATTACTAATTTGTGCTAACATACATTTTAAGCTGATTCGGTAGAAAAATATAATTTCTCTAAACTTTTCTTGTTAAGAAAAAGACATTTGGAAACATATACAGAGTTAATGCAGCATGCAGTCTCTGATAAGGCACATCGTTTAAATTTTAGAGCTAAAAATATTGGGGGGTTACATACAAAATATTTTATAAATCATTACTATTTACCTGCTCGGATTTTAACAGCCTGTGGAGTCAAACGCCTATTGATATTGTCAATGAGTACTCGCCGTTCATTTTCATTCAAATCTAAACTATCCAAAATAGCTGGGTCTCTGGTTAAAACAAGCATAAAACAAAAGGTCCAGGTTAGATTACTGGTAATTGTAAAACTGCACATACTACCAGAGAATAATGGTTAAGAGCCAAGCACAGTATTAGAATTCATGCTCAGATCTTCACTGCACTTAAATGTGTCTGTTTTAGGGTCTTTCTAAACCATGGCTTTGCAGTGTGTAAAATGGGATAACATCACTCACAGGACTGCGATGAGTATCAAATGATAAAATTCTAGTAAGGCATTTCAAGGTTTATGACAAATAGAAAACAATCGATGAATCTTGGTTATTATTAAACAGTTCTTTAAAAGAGCACTGGTTAAAATGAGGAAATTGAAATGTATTTACGTCCTTAAGACCTTCCACTATAATTGAGCATTAGCTAATCCCTAGTCATTAGCAATCCCTCGTTCAAAGAACTTATAATCTAGTTTTAAAAGAACTAGAATACTGAGAAAACAAAAAACTGGGGGCGGGGGGGAAATGCATCCTAGAGAGTGGAGAGGAAGAGATCACTCTCCAGGTAGTGAGTGAGGGCTTCATGGAGGAAGCGCTCTCATAGACCCTCAGACCCTCCAAAGCACCAAGAGCCAGGGTCTTATATACAGCTGGGTTCCCAGGTCAGAGCACAGTGCCTCCTGGGTGCTGAAAGAACTAACGGGTGGGGGATGCAGGAACAAAACAGACATGGCTAGAAACAACGGTAAGATTTTTACTTTCTTACAAACAATTTTAAGACAGTTGTGATGTATGAAAAAGGGAGCGCATGAGCAAGCACCAGGCTGAAAAGCATGGGGTCTGGTTAAGGAAAGACGAGCCAAAAAGAACTGGGTGGGGTGGCATTTACTCTGCTCATAATGATGTGCAGAGAGAGCAACAATAAGGCAGACCAGCACAAGTGGGCTGATGAGATGAACAGAGGAAACACAAAGGGTCGACACAGATATGCAAAGACGCTAACCACCCTGAGAGTCAGGAAAATGCCAATCAAAGATGCCATTCTCATGGTCATGCTACAAACACTGCAGACCTATACAAATGATGGCAAGTACTCGAGGAGCTCAGAACATTTGACTGCCGAAGAGTATAAACTGTGGAATCAATTTGGACAGTGATTTGGCAAAACTTAATTTAAAAACTCAAAAACCACAGTCACTGCCATTGTGGGGTTCTAACTCATGACTCTACAGGAGCTCTGGTATATATTGAGGTGCTAATTCCAAGGCCAGCAATTCAAAACCACCAGGTGCTCTGAGGAAGAAACATGACGCTTTCCATTTCTGTAGTTAGTCTCGGATGGGAAATTTTACTCTGTCCTGTAAGGGTGCTACGGATTGGAAAAATAAA